CTAGAGGGAATGGCCTTGAGCTGAGCCAGGGCAGAGTCAGATTGGATGTGAGGAGAAATGTTTTCCCTGTGAGGGTGTTGAGGCCCTGGAATAGATTGCCCAGGGAGGTGGTGGAGTCACCATCCCTGGAGGGGTTGAAGAGGTGTCTGGATGTGGCACTGGAGGATCTGGTTTAGGATTTAGGGGTTCCAGCAGTGGCAGGTTAATGGTTGGGCTCGATGATCTTAGAGGTCTCCTCCAGCCTTGATGGTTCTATGGTTCTAACTGAGGGAGGCTTCTAAAGTCAGAGCAGTGCTGATGATCATGTTCTGTCATTAGTAAGTATTTCAAAGCAGCATCTTGTATACAGTAAACATTCTATGGCTTCTACACGTGCAGGGACAGGCAGAAAGTAGTGGTTTGGCTTTCATCATGTGAAGGTAAAGATTTTAGAGTAACACTGACAAAATGCCCTCTTTCATTTGAAAAGTCACATTCAATTACTTTTATGCAGTTATTTATAGTGTTCCTGCACCTCAGGCAGTTCTGTGTTCTCATTTCGCTGTTTTCAGAAAACTGTAAAATGATGGATGAACAACAGCTTGTATGTATATTCCAAATGTGTTTTAAGAGCTGCCTTTCCTTCCTCTTGTCAGGTCTGCACAAGCTGTGAAGACAATGCAGAAGCTCATGGGTTTTGTGTGGAATGTGTAGAGTGGTTGTGCAAGACCTGCATCAGAGCTCACCAGAGGGTCAAATTCACAAAGGATCATACTGTGAGGCAGAAGGAGGAAGTATCTCCAGGTAACACACTGGATTTAAACTTTCGCAAGGCATGTTGTGTCTGCATTGCAAAACTTCATTGAACCACCACATTTCTTTTTCAAGTGTTAAACTTCAAAAATCGTCATCCTGAGTCGTAGTAAATGTAAAAGGACATTGGAATAGGTTTGCCCAGTGAGGTGGTGGAGTCACCACCCCCGGAGGTGTTTAGGTGACATCTGGTTCCGGCACTGGAGGATATGGGTTAGGTTTTAGGAGTTACAGCAGTGACAGGTTAATGGTTGGACGTGATGATGTTAGAGGTCTCCTTCAGCCTTGATGATTCTATGACATATTCATGATGATGTAACCCTTTGGTGCATATGAATTAGTGGGACCATGTTCTTCTGGATGCTTTGATAGTTTCCTGGTTCCCTGTCACTTCTTTCAATTTTTGTTGCTAAAGGCTGCAATCATTTGAACAAATCCTACCATATCTTTGTCTGCTCTACATCTAAGTGGATCTCTTCATTGATCCAGCCAATAAAAGAGAAAACTTTATTTTAAGCTGTAGAAGCATTAGAACATAGTTACAGAATAGGGGGACTCTATCACACTGAGTCTGTGGGAGCTGTTTGTCTGTCAGTTGTTTTCTGCCAGATAGACTGTGTGTGTATATATATATATATATAGGATAGGCTGTTAGAAACCCTGCAGGTTGCTTAGGTTGGTTTTTTCCTATGTTTTTTTTTAATGCAACGTATTTTAAACCAATAAATACACATAAATTTTATCTTTCACCTGGAATGATTATGAATTGTTGTTTAGACTCTAGAGATCAACTGCAGAAAATAATTCTTTAGGCATTTGGCTCCTCTGGCTTTTCTAGAGGTCTAACATATGGTTTCTATGAACTTCATTGTGTATGCTGCAGCGAAAGGAGCACTAAGAGATTATGTTTTTTCAGCATTCTGATAATAATCATGCCCTGTTAGCAATAAAACCTGCCAGAATTCATGGTTTGTCTAAGTATCGTTTAAGTTTGAAATAATTTGCCTAGGAATGAGAGGAAAGTCTTTTATGAATTGGGGTGTTTTTCCTGCAGTAGGATTTGTGACAATTCAGGTTGGAAGGGACTTCAGGGCATCATCTAGTCCAGCCTCCTGCTTGGAGCAGTCAGCTCTGACAGCAGATCACATCGCTCAGGGCTATATCCGTTGGGGCCTTGAGACTCAACAGGGATGAATGTGGTGCAGCCTCTCTGAGAACTCTTTTGAGTATCCTGTGGTATAAAGGTTGTACTCTATTCATTGAGAACTTCCTGTTTCAGTTTCTGCCCATTGTGTCTTGTCTTTTAGTGACATAGAAGGTCAATAGTAAACATCATAGAATGCTGGCAAACACTCTGCCAGTTCTGATACGTCCATTGGACTTGCAGGATTTTTGTTGTAAATATATAAATTTTAATCTGATTTTTATAGATTATTATGTACTATTTAATTATATGTATTATAATAGATATTTATTTTCATTCCACACTGTCTAGTCGTGTAAATTCTTCATATAAAGTAGGCTTTCACTTCTGTGACCTGTTGCTCAAAGGGTTCCACCATGGTACTGTGGAGATGTACACTGCATTCTGTGTCCACTTTCACATGTGGTTAATCCTAAGTGAGTGTACTTTCAGGAAAGGACAGAAGTAGTGGGTAGAAGTGGCTGACAGACTGTTAGACAGACCATGACTTGGTGGTAGGAACCGTCTCAGTGCCTTCAGGCCTCTTTGAGAGGAGTTCTGGGGTTGAGTTGCAGAGAATTTTGGCTGAAGAATACAAATGTGAAAATAACTTCTCCCAGATTTCTTGAAAACAAGTGGATGAATGGATATGGAAAAGAGACCTGACTGATCTGCAGTGGCGGATGGGCTCAGTGGGAAGCCAGTTTCCATTACAGGCTAAATAATCCTCATGAGCTCTGTGTCCAACCTAACTCCTAGGAAATTAGGCTTTGTCAGTTAAATTGTTTGAAAAACAGGTTTCAGTGTTTCCTAGGGTCTTTGCTCACTAGAAACTGAAGTGAGACCTCTCACTCATTTAGAATGAGGTCCTGTAGGGAGGTTAGTAAGTCCTGGTCATTATATTCTGTATGTTTTTCACTTTTGAATGTCTGTGTCTTGATATCCTCAAGCCTCCTTTCACCAGTTCAGCTGAGAAAGAAGGCAGAGCACAAATCACATCAGCCATCTCCTTGTTTCTGTTGAAGAAATGAACTTGCTGGTTGTACATTGCCTTTTGCAGCTGCAACAGCACTGGCTGCTCCTTTTGTAAATAGTTCTGTGGGGCCATCATAGATGGTGGTAAAATAGACTCTAGACGCCCTCCATGAGACAGCGCTTGTCCAAGAGTGAGACATTGTGGTTTGAACTTATGGCTGTTCTCCATTAGGTGGCCTGAGACACACTTGTAGCATCTGGGTGGGGAGTACGGTAAGGAAAAATGCGGGAAGGCAAATATTTCATCATTTCAGGAGACTGCACCAACCCCTTCCTTCATTCCACAGAGGCAGTTGGTGTGACCAGTCAGCGACCTGTGTTTTGCCCTTACCACAAGAAGGAGCAGTTGAAGTTGTACTGTGAAACCTGTGACAAGTTGACCTGCCGTGATTGTCAGTTACTGGAACACAAGGAGCACAGGTAGCAAAGCAAAGTATATGTTGGATGCACCTCACTTACAGAAAGACAGCCTGAAGTAGATTGTAGTTCAATCTGTCATGTGAAAAAGTGCAATATAAAGTTTTTTGCTCAGAAATGAAGCCCACAAATAATGAGAGATTGTGTCCGGAAAAGTGTGACTGATGAGTCTGTGTTAGTATAGAATAAAACCTAATTCTTCTAGTTGTTCATCTGGTGACTTAAGCACAAGACCTTTCTTTGCTGTCAAGTTCTTTGAACAGAATTTGTTGCTCTGCAGCTGTTCAGAGTCCCCAGAAAGCACAGGGGCTGTGTTATGCAACTATGCACTTATGTGCAATTTCTCCATTTGTCCTTCAACAAGGTGATTACATAACAGAACATTCCCAAACAGTTTCAGAATGGAGCAAATGGGGATTTTTTTTCTGTGGAGAGCCCTTCCAAAGGAAAAGTAAACCTTCAGTCTGGCTGTACTGTACTGTGACAGCACTGTTCATAGTACTCAGGTCTTTGGGCTGCTGTTCTCTGGTCATCTCTTGCTGGCCACAGAAGCCAAAGAGCAGGATTACATACAATTTCTGAGTAAAAGACAAAACTCTTGCTGTTTGGTGCCTGTGGTGGTGCTCTGGGACATGACTCTGGTTAAATATTAACATGCTCACCATACCTGGTGCCACCACCCAGAGAACTTGCCTGCCTGATCAGGAGAACATCGAGAGGTGGAGAAGTGTTGGCCATTGTTGCCCCTTGGAACAGGCTAAATTTTGCTCCAGCAGAGCTGCAATCATCCTCTTGACTTCTACTTTCCTTAGGATTTATATCCCTTTTAGAATGTGCCACCTCTTTTTTTTCCTGCAATTGTTGAAGATTTCAGTTCCTTGATTTAAAATGTTGCTGACTTCTACTGACTCAGCAATCTCTCTTTTTCTTCTGTTTCTATGTCCTTGTCTTGCATGAAGTAAGAGCTTACTTGCTCTTTCACATTCAAAGTGATGACTATACCACAATATTAATCTTTCCTTTGCTGAAATTGGGCTGTGATCACACAATGTCCTTTCGTAGTTATGAAAATCATAAATTTCCCCCCTCTAATAGTACAGGAAATAGGCTGTAAAATCAAATCTACTGTAAATAAAATATAGCAGCATTTGCTGACATATGACAGTTAAATTTGGGAGTTGAGCAGCATCTTCCTTCAACGAACAAAGTACTGTGTAAGGCACTCTGTTTTCTAGCAGGTATATCATGCGTTTTGCCTGTGTGAATATTCACTGCTCTTTGCTGCAGGTACCAGTTTATAGAAGAAGCTTTTCAGAACCAGAAGGTGATCATTGAGACACTAATCACCAAACTGATGGAGAAGACTAAGTACATAAAATATACAGGGAAACAGATCCAAAACAGGTATGTGTCAGATTGTGAAGTTAAAACTGACAGGGGAAAACTTTACTTACTCTGTAATGTCTCGAAAAGTTTCAATTAATGTATTTTATACCTCTCCTTTTGTTCTTCCAGAAGAAGAAATTCTAAAGTCTCCAGTTTGCTCTAGTGGCTGTTGCCTGTTCAATGTGCTTTGCTTGTACTAGGCACCTCTTCTGCTCAGCCTGTGGACTTAGCTAGCAGCACTTGCTTCAGTGCAGCCACACACCTTATGCACTAACAGTCTTACATGCTTCCTCACCATCAGCACACTGATTTCTTAGTGCAGATCCCTCTCAGAAAGTGAAAGGTTGTGTGACTCGTGTTTTCATAATGCTTGTGACGTATTTGAAGCTTTATGTAATACTTTTATGCTTGGGGCTTTAGTGTCTCAGTCTACAAACCTGAGAGAAAAATGAACATGTAAAATGGGATTTGCAATGGTCCTTGTCACCTGCTCCTTCCGTAGCTCAGAGACGGTGGCACCCAGGGAGATTGCACATGGCGCAGCGTGAACTCTTCTATGCTGGTTTGAAAGCAAACCAGTGAGAGACTCCAAGTCAGAAATAGTATTTAATAGGAAAAACAGAACAACAAATGAAACAGTACAAAAAGAAACCCCTGACAGAGTCAGAAAGTAATCTGACACCCTGTCAGTCAGGGTGTAGTAGTAGTCCGATTAAATGGTGGCTGCAGCCCTCCTGGAGTGATGGGTCTGTTGGAGCAGTGATCCCGCAGATCCTGTCCTCTCCCGAAGGTCCAGTGGCACCTCTTGTCCTCTGGGAATCCAGCAGGCAAAGGGAATCTGTGCTGGTCCAAACCCCAGCTTATATCCCTGTGGGAATGCTTGGCTCCCCCCTGGGGTGAAGCATCTCCCAATGGGATTATGTAATTCTATGGGTCATGCCTGGGTCCCTGACAGCCCATTAAACAGAGACAGCCTGAGGGAGCCATCAGGGATGAGTAGGAGAACAATCACTGCCCCAACAGCTTGTGGAGACAATAGAATACTTACTATTGGCTACCCTCACACTGCAACCCAGGACAACTTCCTTCCTCTCAGCACCGGAGGTTTCCACAGCACCTTTTCGTGGTACAAGATTAGGCTTTGCTGTTCTGAGCTGTTTGAGCACTATTACTGAAATAGCTGAATTAGAAAATCTGTTTATTGCTTTGGTTTCTGCCATTCTGTCGTAGATGGAAATTATACTTTGATTGCCATGGACTGTTCCAGAAATGTGCCAGACAACTAAAGATCAAGAGTTTCAGTTACGACGAGCATTTAATATTCATCAGTGACAGATGTCAGTAATTTTACAAACATGGCATTAGAATTTGTCACTAGTTAGTTAATTTTATCATAGGTCACTCTTACTTGCTCTTTCTATTTCCCCTGATGCCGAGAAAAGGCTGGAAAAGAACTACTCACAGACTTGTATCTCTGAGTAGCAGGTATTGTTTATTCAGCACTGGGCACGAGGGGGATCGCTCCACCAAACTTGTGCAACCAGGGACAAAAACTTCACAGTTTATATGCACTAAATGCTCATACATATTCATTATTTCCAGGAATGGGTGGTTATTATTATAATTAGTTCTCAGAAATAATTATCATACACTCCTCCTCCATCTCCTCCCTCCTGGCATCAGTCCCATGGTCCTGGTGGTCTTTCGGTGGTCATGAAGATGAAGCACCTCCTCTTCCTCAGTACCGTTTGGACACCCTTATTGTGCAACGATTTACCCCTTTGTACAGTTTTGCATGCCTTGCTGACCTTGCCTCTATCTTGTACATTTTGTTTCTTCATTCCACACCTTATATGGTCTTAGTTTTCCTCCTACTGCCAAGGTTTGAGTCTAGTTAGTTCTACTGTCTTATAGATAAGGTGCATCGTTTCACCAGGCAAGCCAAAACAATACAATCAGTGAAGCTTCTTGTCTGTACTATGTAATCCTTGCTATTTTGCTAATTAAGCTGCAATAGTGCTATTAGTAAAGCTGTTCTTTATGCTTTCAGCTTTAACTGTTCAATTCCTGTTTTGAGTCTACTTCTCAGTATCACCCCCAGTAATTTTCCTGGCTATAAGTGTGTGATGATATATGCAGTAATTGGTGGCTATGACCAAGAAATGTTGTAGTCTCAGCCACAGATGTTTCGGGTTCTTCTTGATACTGTTAAGAGAGTGGGTTTGTGGGCTAAAGAACATTATTTTCTGTATTGTCTCCTTACAGAATCCTGGAAGTCAATCAGAATCAAAAGCAGGTGGAACAGGATATTAAAGTTGCCATATTTACACTGATGGTAGAAATAAATAAAAAGGGAAAAGCTCTGCTGCATCAGTTGGAGGTAATTTCTTTTCTAAGAAGCAAAAATGCCAGTCTGAATATTTTTTGGTATGTATTCACATTAAAATGAAAAACATCTCTAGCATCAGCTCCCTGTGCATGTCCTGTCACAGTTCCAAAGTGCAGAGATGTCCTGTACAAGCCACTGGAGCAAGTGGAGGTTTGGTGGAGGAGTTTGGTTTCTGAGGGCTGGCTGTCATTTCTTTGCAATTCTTGTCTGTGTTCTCTGCCTTGGGTCGGGGCTGTCTCTAAGCTGAGCTTCTCTGTGCTTTGGCAAGTCAGAGTTCTCTGTGTCATGCATCAAAAGTGTTCCCATCTGAATCTGTCAGAAAGTCAGCAATCCAAAAGCAAATTACCAGAGAGAATTACCTGCCATGGATGCCTGGAGAAATGTTACCTGAAATGTTTTTTTAAAAAGTGTGTGTGTATAGAGAGGCACAGACACACACAAACACACAGACACAGGGACACACACACACAGAGACTCATACACAGTCACATACACAGACACAGGGACACAGACACACACACAGAGACATGCAGAGACACACAGACGCACACACACAGACACATGTACAAACATATATATCTATGAAAATGTGCCATAAGAGAAAATGGGAATTGCACAGAAACTCCTGGTATCTCAAATAAATTTATGCTGACTCCTGTTTGGTAGCTGCTGTTTAGAAGACCTAAGTGCAACCACTTAATCATTGCGAATTTCAACTACGAAAGCTAATGCCTGTTTATTACAAATTGGACCCTTTGACTGGAACTGCTTTTCTGCTTGCAGACTCTGGCAAAAGAGCATCGAATGAAACTTCTGCAGCAGCAGCAGAAAGTGGCAGGTCTCTCTCATCAGCTGGAACATGTCGTGAATTTTTCCAAGTGGGCAGTTTCCAGTGGGAGCAACACAGCACTGCTGTACAGCAAACGCTTGGTAAGGCCAAGGAGGAGAGCTCCCTCTGCTTACTGAGGCTCTAGCAGAGGCAGATGGGCACAGACACACCTGTTGGCAGTACTAGCGTATTAGAATTTTTAATGACTTTCTACTAACTGGAGCATTTATGTACAGTTTTTCATCATTTGCTCTTAAACATAGATCCAGAATGTTTCTAATAACTTAGCTCTCTAGTCATGATTCTCTCCTGTTACACTGCCACACAATTGTTGTACATCTGCAGAAGCAGGAACTTTTCTCTGGGTTTGAAAACCATGAAGCCATGAAGCACTAGGAAAAAATGTTATATGTCCTACATCACCATTGCACTTCTTTTCAGTACTTGCTACAGCTTCTGAGTTCATGGAAGATGGTATTTTGTGCTAATATCTAGCATTTGACTGTAGAAATGACTATATTTCTTGGTTCTGTCAGACTCATCTCCTACTAAAAGTCTTCCAAAATCGATGAACATGCTGAAGCTTTTGTTTGTCCATGCAAACAGTCACAGAGCCAAATATGTCATTGCTGTGACACTTAAGGTCTGAGTGCAAGAGGTTTCATGGAGCTGACTGCTTGTCATGAAGAAAACCCCTAGAAGATCTGAAATAAATGAACAAAGCAAAATCTGACCATGATTTGTCTCGAGGTTACTAGAGTGTACCAGGCCGAGAACAGAAGTCTATGGCTATTTTGAGCAAAGAGGCTAGAGCTGTGTTCTTCCAGTTCCTATAACTGGCTCACAAAGGTTTTTCTTTATTTTCTCATTGCTCAGTTGAGAACCTACCAGGGCATTTTGTGGGTTTGTATTGGTTAGTTATGGGTTTGTAGTTATTTGGTTTTTGGTGGTGGTTTTGTGGGGTTTTTTGATAGCCATTATTGATACTGCAGGCTGCAGTGGCTAGTCGGATATTGCTTGGTGTTCGTCAACTTCCATTATTTCAGTTTGTTTGGCCTGACCTTACAGTGCCTCAGCAAGTCATTTTTCTTTAACTGAACAGAGAAAAAGGAGATCCAGCAGAGTCACATTGTTCGTAGTTGCTTAGTGTTGCTGCAAAGACTCTGCTGTGTGAGTAGGGAAACGAGGAGTGTGCAGGAATCTCAATCATAGGAACATGATGCAGGTGAGAAAAAAGGCCATTAGCCCAGGGAGCCTCAGCAAATGGGAAGTGTTTTTCCAAAGAACAGACTGAGCGTTAGAGAGTTGATGTTACTCAGGAGCTGAGTACCTAACCTGTCTGTGGGCATCTGGAAAAGTCTCTTCCTGGACAGTGAAGCAGAGGAGCATGTGAGACTTCTATTCCAACATATCCAGCCACTTGAATCCAGGAGGTAGGAATGAATGTCCATTGGCTTCAGTGCAGCGTTTCAGCTCAGAGGCTGCACTTGAGGGGGATGACACACTAGTTTGCAGGAAGTTTTCCAGCCTAGTTCCTCGGGCACAAACAAAACCCTGTTAGCCAGCACTGCTGCTAACAGGAGGTAGCTGGTCTGGCCAGGAGTTTTTCTGCAATATGTGTGTGAGCACAATAGTAGGAAAAGAATGGAGCAAACTGCGACAAGAACTGTGTGTGACCAGTATTGGCAACAGGACAAAAGACTAGAATTTCTGCAGTGTTCTGTGCTTTGTTCTGGGAGTGTGTGCACAAATCCTGAGAAATCTCTGTTCACAACAGTAGTAGGGCACTTAACATTCCCCATGGCTGTTAAAAACACCTTAGCTAAATGTGTTTTGTATCTGGTCTTAAACTGACCTGCCTAAAATGAAAAGGAAAAACTTGCAACTGAAAGCTCTTATAAAATTCCTCTGTAAAAAAACCCAACTCACCAGGATCATTTTAGACAGTTTAGATGATTTTGCCAAGTATCTCTTGACCTTTTCCAGGAAATAACCTGCTATTCAAGGAAAACAAGTGTTTAACTCTGCAATTTCTTTTCTGTGTGATTCTAAAATTAGTGCCTGTTACATTTCTGTGAATCAGTGCCTGGTGTTTCTAGTGAAACATCTGCAGGAAAACATGTTATTTCTAGGAACTAGGTAAACACTGAGCATTTGACAGTGTGCACTCTCGTGCAGTTGTGCTGCAATGCTTTGGAGCCAAGGCCTTGGAAGAACCTGAAAATGTCTGTGAGTCTGAGAGTTTGCAAAGAGCTTACAGAAATCTGTTCTTTGGCTCTCTGAAGAAAACTCAAATCTAGTACAAAGGAAATTCCTTGTGATGATACGTGTTGCCAAACAAGATGTCAGACTTTTCTTTTGAAGAAAAATGAGTAGTCTAACATGGGTTTGCGCAGGGAAATCAGCAATGGTTGTGTGAATCTGTACTTCACTTGCAAGTGGTTGAAGTCGTTGAACACAATGACCAAGTCTGTGGAAGGATATGTATTTCTACAGGGAATAACTGGTTTTTTTGTTTAGGCTGTAGTTAAGTTCTTTTTGAACTACATTAGGAATAAGGGAAAGATATGAAAAATATCTCTTTATTTGTAGCTTGGATAAGTTTCTCTGTCTTTAACTTCAGTTCTCTAGAGGCACATTCAGAGGTTTTGTTGGTTGGGTGGTTGGTTTGTTTTGTGTGTGTGTGTGTGTTTGGGGCTTTTATGTTCAGGTACATGGCTCTGACCACAGAGGAAAAAGCATCTTGTTTTGTTCCCGTCCTAGATTACATATCGACTACGGTATCTCCTCCGAGCCAGGTGTGATGCTTCTCCAGCCACTAACAATACCATCCAGTTTCACTGTGATCCTAGCTTCTGGGCACAAAATATTTTCAATCTAGGTATGCTACATTTTTATTACCCTTTGGTGCCTTGATCTGATTTTGAAAGCAGCTTTCTTTTTGTGAAGATAGTCTCTGCACTATTCATTTCTTGATTTGCTGTTAAATTTATTTCCTTACCTGTAGAAAACATTTGAAGTGCATTGCATGTGAAAAGTGTTATTTATGAGTGTTCATGATAAAGTATTAACAAACTTCGCTTATCTGAGTGGTACATGTGATGGTGAAAGTAGCAGCTTTCACTTTTCTGGTCAGTACACACAACTTCTGCCTTCTGAAACAAGGAACACAATCTGTAACCCTATTTCTCATCCTAAGAGAGGATTCCGGAAGTCAGTCTCATTCTGCTATAAAATCAACCCTTTTTTTCAGGGAGCAAATAAAATAAATGAAGTCCCTTAGCTCAAGTTTATCCATTCTTTGCAGTACAACAATGAACTGCAACCACATGGAAGAACTAACTATGGGTACTGGCAGTTCTGCTGACTGCAGTACTTGGGCAGTAATTTTTTTGTTTTGTTTATACTAGGTTCTTTGGTAGTTGAAGATAAAGAAACCCCCCCTCATATGCCCAAGAGCCCTGTGACAGACCCAAACTTACAGCCACCAGGCAGCTCACCTTCCAACCAGCTGTCGAAATTTCCAACGCAGATCAGCTTAGCTCAGCTCCGACTCCAGCACATGCAGCAGCAGGTCATGGCTCAGAGACAGCAAGCTCAACGCAGACCAGTGGTTTTGCCAAATCCAAGGCTGCCAGCAGCCATGCAGCAGCCTCCTGCTTCTCATCAGGTAAGCTGTGACTGCTTCCACAGAACGGTCTGTTTTCCATGGCACTGAAGGAGAAAGTAAAGAAAGATAAGAAAAAAAGGAAGAAATTAAGTCCTTATGCTGAAGCACCAGAACTGCAGCAGTGTGTAGTGCTGTCTGGTTTGCATTTTGTCAGATGATCACAAAGTGAATCTATCATTAATTTTGGTCCACGTCTGTTTTGCACAATACTCAGTGATTATCTCCTACTTTTCAAAGTTGGAAACTCTCACTGGCTCTTGTGATGCATCTTCATTATTGTATCAGAATAATTCAAAACCGTCTGCTAGGTTTTAGTTTTAACAGTGAGAATCAGTGTGTTGTGTGATCATCCAGACAAATGGGGCAGTACTGTTTGTTTGCATACAGTTTGTGAAGAGTTTCAGAAGTTTAAAAGAACCATTTCTGGAACATGGACTAGACATCAGCTCACTTGCAGAACTGTTTGGTTTTATGCAGGCACCTCCACGCTTGATTCATTTACAGAATCACAACCCCAAGCCCAATGGTTCAGCTCCTCCTGCACAACAGATGAGATTTCCCGACAATCAGAACCTACCAAGACAAGCAGTAAAATCCAACCCATTGCAAATGGCATTCTTGGCTCAGCAAGCTATAAAACAGGTACAGTTTCTTTCCCTTTTCACTTGCCATGTAGAAATAAAACATCACATGCTGTAAAACAAACATCAAAAAGCTTTTTTTTGTTGTGTTTCTAGAGTGTTTTTCAGTTAGAACAGAGACCACATTTTTGTCTGTGACCAGATACCTGCAGTTTTCTTAATGAGATAACTGTCAAATTTATTTCACTTTGGCAGTTCTAAGCAGCTGAAGCATCATGGCAATGAGCCCCCACGTGTGCTCTGTAGGTGTCTCATTCTCCTCCTGTGGTTACTGTGGTTTCTGACCACTCGTGCAAAACTTAGCATGGCCATGGTCTGCACACTAGAGTCAGTGAGTACGAAACAGAAAATCCCATGGTTTAGCTTGATGTTAGTGACTTCAGCAGCCAGGTAAAACCCTGACTAAAAAGCTAGAGCTGCCACAATTCCCCAGAGTGTGACAAATCTGAACTTGTACAGGTGAGGTGAGAAAAGCAAATCTCCAATTGTGGGACCTCTCCTGAGCAAGTCTGATCAGTGCCCAGCTAATCAGAAGCTCAACTGGTAAACACACCATACATTTTCTGGATGTTCAGGAAGGCTAATCTTTATTAAAAAGCACATTAGCACGAGTTGTTAGGTGTGTGGAAGGAAAGAGCAAATCATGTCACTGTTGGTAAGCAGGGAAGGGTAAAATGAGTCTGTGACCTGAGAAGTGGTGTAATACCATTCATGTTTGCCATGCTTATGATGTCAGAGAACGAATTCCAACTGAACTGAGAAAAGCTGTGCAATATCTAAGAGAACCTGTAGGAACAAAAGCTAAGTCGCTTCTATCCTCTGCCCCTGGAAAGGAAGTGGGGCTGTCTGCAGGCCTTTCTTTCAAGAATTCTCGTTATCTGGTGATGTCTTTCTGAAACTAGAAATCAGTAAATAGGATGGTGACTAAAAAGGAGTTGGGCAGATTCAGATTTTGCCTACAGTTGCCATGAAATTGTATTAAAGTCATTGAAAGCTGCATACATCTAAACGAGAAAAAAGTTTAATCTGACTTGGCTGTGACCATCCCATGGGCTCAGTGTGTCTGTGGGTGGAGATCCAGTCAGCACTTCAAATTCTCACTCACTTTGAGTGATTAAGGGGAGCACAACAGCAGGTACTCAGTGGTGTTCAGGCAAGGCTGTAGCTGTTTCCTCACGGGGTGCCGGAGCCTCTGCTGAGGCACTACAGACAGACATTACAGGTCTGTCCCTGGAATGCTTTTCTTTCACAAGGACTGCTGTTTCCTCCCACAGCGCTGGCAGTGCAGCATGGAATATTATTACTTAACACTGAGGCACAGGTTTGATTTTAAGAATTTGCATTCATTTCTTCTGTGCCTAGTTTGCAGCTGCATATCATCTTCCCTCGTCCTGTAAGGCTTTGTGAAATGGTTCTTGAAATAACTTCTGAGTAAGTCAGGATTTTGGAGTTTGGATTCAGCTTCCTGAACTAAGCTGCTTGTTTTATCTGCTGTGTTAGAAGCAGAATATTGAGCAGATGTGACCTGTTGCAAAGAAAATAATGCTGAATTGCAGGTTATTGTCTTGTCTGTTTAGTGGCAAATCAGTAGTGGACAAAGTTCAACTGCTCCTTCCACTGCAAGCAGCACAGCGTCAACTCCGTCCAGCCCCACGATCACCAGCGTCGCAGGGTGTGATGGGAAGACGTGTGGCCCACCCACGATAGATTTGAGTTCCCCAGTGGGGAGCTCCTTTAATCTACCTGCTCTCCCTGATGTGAGTGTACCATAGAAGCAAAGTTTATGGATCCTATGTTGAAGTGTGTCAATGCTTGTGAGAAGTAGAAACCTTTTAGATTGAAATTCTTGCATTCCT